TCTTTCGTTCGGAATTTTTTAGGAGCTACGGTTATTATGCAATTCTAAGATATAGCGTGACAAAAAAATTTTGCAAATTTTCTTTTTTTTTTCTAAGTCCACGGACTTAGACTGGTCGTACAGAGAATTGAAGGACAGTTTCGAAAACTGGAATAAATTTCCTATAATTTTTTTTTTCATCTTTTACACGAATTTTAAAAAACAGGGAAAATGAGAAATATTTATGAAATGACAATTCGATATACCCAGATGAACCCTGTGAAGTTTCATCTCGATTTAGCGAATCGTTTCTTTGTTTCAAATAGTCAAAATTTTAAAAAAAATTAAAGGGTCACGTTTTTTGAGCTTCATAATGATTAAATTGAAAATCACATTTTTTTGAGGTTTTCTCGCTTTTTTTATCGCAAATAACATTTAAATTAATGAAAAAAAAAAAAAAATTGGAAATCTTTTTACTTCGAAAGTTTTTTTGTTTTTTTTTTTGGAATACCTTCCGGACATTAAAGAAAACAAAATCCAATTGTTTCCAGCACGATTCGGCTTTTTCGTCCTATGCTTCTGTTCATCAACTTTTAATTAAATTAAAATTAAAGTTGATGACCCAAACCAGATTTCAACCCCGATTCATACCGTTTTTTGAGACAAATTTCTAATTAATTTTTGTGCAGTCTGTAATCATTTAGAAAACTGTTTTTTTTTTAAATGTCTAAAAAAAAATTTTTTCGTCAATTTAAACGTTATTTGCGGAAAAAATGTGAGAAAACCTAAAAAAAATTTTTTTTTCCATTTTAATCATGATTATGAAGTGTTTAAGCTCAAAAGTTTGACTGTTTGAAACAAAGAAACGGTTCGCTAGATTGAGATGAAACTTCACAGGGTTCATCTGAGTATATCGAATTGTAAAAGTCATGCGTAACTTTAGTCATTTCGTGAATATTTCTAATTTAGCCGTCAATTTTCTAGAAAATCATAAATTACCCTTTTTTTCTGTTATTTAAAATTCGTGTAAAAGATGAAAAAAAAGTCCGAAAAGTTGTGACAGCATGTTATAGGAAACTTATTCCAGTTTTCGAAACTGCCCTTCTGTACAACCATTTGTCGCCGAGATATCAATGATTAAAGACAAAAGGATCCTTTTCCATTAAAAGTCCAATATTTCGATGAAAAATGGTCGTATCAAAATTTAAAAATAGGAAATGGAAGATGAATAAACAAGCTATCTGGTCCATGCAATGGCTTAGCTGAAAAAAAATTTTCCAAGTCCGTGGAAAAAGAAAGAAAATTTGAAAAATTTTTTTGTCGAGCTATTAGAATTGCACAGTAACCGTAGCTCCTAAAAAATAAAAACTAGAATCTTAGAGCTTCAAAATGCTTTTTAATTTTTTGCATTAGTGAATATTGTTAGCCAAATGCACATATAATAGAAAATTCTACACATTGTATAAAAATTTTATTATTTTTTACTTTTAGCAGAAAACTATTTTAGGGGTGCATATGAAACCCATTAAATTTTATTGCTAGGCGTTTTTATACTACTACGACTATAACGCTCCGAAGAAATAGAACACCTTGTATAGTTGAAAGTAATAATAATAAGGAAATTCATTTGATATATTTTTTAGTATTATTGGTATTACCAGATCTCCGGAAGAATCTTACTTGAGACACTACATATATATTAGGAGCCTCGGCATTCAAGACCTCCGTGTATAAAATATGATCTCCGCCCCACACCTGTGTCACATCTCCCACCCATGCGGAAAAATAAAACGTAAATAATTTCCAAGGCGTGCATTTTATCCCTTTTGACAGCATCTTCGCTGAGGGATGAATCCACTCCGCACATACATTATTCATCAGAATTGCGGAGTTCTTTATATTTTAATCCGAAAAGTTCCACGTGAATTTTATCAAAGATGCGCCATTAAGAATATTAAACGGAACAAAAAAATAATGTATTGTCATTCGTCTCGCACAAAACATCTTATATAAGCTCTCCTTATAAAGAACTCTATCCGGCGTAAGCTTTTGAGGAATGAAATACACAAGGTGTATAAAAGCGATATTAGACACGGCGTGCGGAGAGGGAAGATATTTCTTTCGGATGGAAGCGGTAAAAAATTGTTTTTGAGGGAACGCGACTATATACCGAGTTATGAACGTTTGGGAATTATTTCTAACGCTGTACAGGCGTTAGGCTAAATCACGTTTAATAGACATTTTAAAATGTGTAAAATATACATCTAGTATTTTTCTAAATTAAACTAGCGTATAGTTTTAAATTCGACATAATTGAAAACATGCTTACAAAAATCCAACAGATACAAATTATTATTTACTGAAATAGAATTAAATTAATGCAAAGCTTGGTTGCTATCTTAAATGAATGTTGAATGAAAAAATACTTTGCTGATCTTGAACTGCAGTCAAAACAATACATATTTCACTAAAATATGTTTTAAAGTAATTTCCTCAATAGGGTGAAAAATACAGTAATTGTGCCTCAACCGGGTGATTATTATGTGATTTTAAGGTTAACAGTTACATTGGAAACTTTAATATGTACTTACAACTTGTTCGTAATCTGTACTACAAGAGAAAATATTAAAATAACAAACACATATACCACTGAACGTAGCAAAAATTATTTATCTTATACCATTGCGGTTGTAGATATAGTAATGCATGAAGACCATTAATCAAACTTATGTCATTTAAATATGATAGTTTTATTCATATTATTGGCGAAATTACGAATTAAACTAATACATGTTTGTTATTTTAATATTTGCAACGATTTATGCTATAATATTTAACACTTGCAGAACAATTATTCAATTTGCCACGAAAATGGGATTATGGAAGCATTGTTTATGGCACGGTTTTAAACATGCTGATAACATCAACATTTTGTTGATGAAATAATGCGAAAAATTAACTGAATAACTAAGTAACCAAAAGAACCTCATAAAATATTAATGAAGTTTTATATCTGCGCTTTTTTTCCCTGTTTATTCGAGTATTTTACCATGTGACAAACATTTTTAAAAATTAACGAAAACTGTTTTAAGTCTAGAAAAATTAGTTTCACGTTGTTTTTATGTCTAAAAGTATCATATTGAAATAAGCCAACAAACAAAATATCAAAGTACTATCATTATTTCATTTAATTTTTGTTAATTTTTGTTTATCTGCGTCCATAGCTAGAGATGTTAGCATGCTATTTTGTTATTTCTTTTACTTTCAATATTGACAACTAACAGAATTGATGAACAAATGGTTAAATTAGAGAAATTTTGACTAATTCAATGTATATTCAGTTCCCAAAGAGAAATCGGAAATATTTTTGTTAGTTTGGAGATTTTCTTGAAAAATTTTTAGATTTATTTACAAAACTTAGATTATGGAATCAGATTTTTTAATGCAAAGTTTCGTCTTTCAGAAACCATCATTGAATTGATATTTTTTTAAATATAAAGGCATTAATATTAATATAATGTTATTGTTTAGTGACTTTTCGGACTAGAAAACTCGTCGTCAGTCTTATTGTTCTTCAAAGATGTTGGTACCTGCTTATTCAGAAAGCTTTCATAAATTAGCAAAATATGAACAAATAGTAAAACCCTAACGAGACAACTAACATTAATATAAAAGTTACAAGAGATATTGAAATCACTTGATATTTTCCCCGAACTTTTACAGTTTTTATTCTAATACAAATTTTAGTTTGTTTAGAATTCGTGTATTTTTTATAACTTATACAGGTTCCTGAAATATAATTACAAACAAAGATATTTCGAGGATATTGTATTTCATATTTTTCTAATATATAAAAGCTTTTAAAAATATTTGCAGGTGTATTAAAAAAAACGAACTGATGGTTGTTGAAAAATGAATGCTGTTATACAAATCTGATTCGATATTCGAATCGAGAACCATAAATGGCATAAAAAAGTACTTTTCTATTTCCGTAAAACTCTTCAAACAAACTATAAAACAAGAAAAGCGAAGTCTAAAAATTTCGCATTTTTCAAAAACTTACAAGAATATTTTCGGTTTCTGTCACATAATATAAATTTTTACACAGTATACACATAAATGTCTAATAGTCATTTTATTCCAATCACTTTTTAATTAAATTGTTATTTAGAAAGCCTTGAAAATATCTATAAATCAATATCTCAGTTTTAACTACATATAGGAACCTTAAAAATTATGAGATAGGTATACAGGGTGTACAGAAATTAATGCAACGAAATTTGGTCAGAGATTCTTAAGACAAATTTAGGGGACCCCTATTTTTTATTTTTGTCAAATGGCCATCTCTTTCGGAGTTACAGCCCCCTGAAATCCGTCCCTAAGAATAATCTTTTTTATATCTCAGAACCCTGTTGTACGAGAATTACTAAATTTGGTACACAGGGGAATCTTTTTGGCGGGGAACCCGTCAGTCCCCTTGTCTTTGGAACCAAAAAAATTTGGTCGCATATTTGAATTTCTTAAAAACTATTAGTCCATTAGATGAAAGCCAACTTTTTGTTCCTTGATATTTTTATCGTAAAATGTAATGTTTTTAAGAAAAATGGCGAATCACGATATGCATTCGATCACATTTCGACATTTTTCTGGAAAACAGTGCGGTTTACAAAAAAGTATCAAGAGACAAAAATTTTTGTAAATTCAATGGCAGTGTTCTGAGATATAAAAAAAGACTATTCTTAGGGGCGGATTTCAGGGGGCTGTAACTCCGAAAGAGAAGGCCACTTGGCAAAAATAGAAAATACGGGTCCCATAAATTTGTCTTAAGAATCTGTGACCAAATTTTGTTCCATTAATTTCGGGACACCCTGTAGAGGCATGAATAGTAAGTGGCGAGCCCTGTATATAAAAGGCATTTCATCAATACGTTATGAAAGTATAGTTTCCGTTTTATATTCCGATGTTAGGGTGCCACAGAAGCCCTAGGAACTTTTTACAATGTAGGAAGGCAGTTTACTCACATTTCTGAAGTCAATAAGCTGGGTGACAAGTGTGCCGTCGGACCTCTGGAATTCTAATGTGACGGTGTCGTCGGTGACGTTCGCCGAAATGTTCTCCTGGACGACATCTCCGCCCTAGAAATTAATTCGGGGTTAATTGTCTGAACGCTGAAACTTAACCGTTTCATTACATCAAGGCGGCAGGCGGGTCCGCAAAAACTCTTTTAAGAATTCACTTCTATCCGAGGAGCGATTAAAGTCACAAATAAAGCGGGAATTAAACCGTTTATTTAGGCGGTACAGTCTGCGGGGTGAGCCAAAGGCTTGGGGTGGTGCAAACATTGCGGAACACCTCGCTAGGTAGGCCGAGTTTTACTAATATTGAATCGGTTATTGTATAAGAAAACATACCCACATTGTACTATAATTAAACTTCGTACATGATTACCAAGTCACGTGATCGTTGAGCATAGGCAACCAACATTGCACGACTGGTACTGTCACATAAAATTCCATAAGCCTCAGTGAAGTGAGAGTTGAAGAGGTTACAGATGTAATTAAACAAAATTGTTTTTAAAATTGATTAGCGTGAACTGTTGATATTAGACTTAACACATACAATACAAAATACTTTTGTTTCTTCGTTGAAATGCTTTCAAATTTATTAAAACTAAACTATCAAACTTCATTTGTTAACGAACAAATTGAAAATCTCTATCGACAATTTATTTACGGCTATGTACTTCGTGATAATTTACTTAAAAGTTTCTTGCGAATACGAGACACCGTTGACAACTTTCTGAATATGACTGGCTCGCATTTAGTAATCAATCCCAGGACCACTGTTCTATAGGCAAATTGCTTGCTCTGTATGGCCCGGGAAACTAAATACATGGATTAAAACTTATTCATAACTGGAAATTGCTCTCCCAGAATCAATATGTATTTAGAACAAACTAGGAATATTCTCTACGCCATACTGAAATGATGAACATAATTTAACGATTCTGTTTGTCACAATTTTAAACAAGGTAACTAATGGAAACGTTCCATTGTTAAACTTCATCCAAAATAAATAAAACTATGTGCTGCCAGGGTTATGTAGTCAATGAGTTGGTTTTAACAATCCATATATTGTATGTTCATATGATATTTACAGTAGACATGGAAATATTGCCGAAATTTTGATATGAAAATAATAATATACTTTTTAACTTTTTAATCAGGAAACTTTATTACCTTAGTTTCAAGTGAAACGAACAATTTATAGTTATTATTACGGAAATGATGCCTGTCGATGCTGCGAATTGCTAAATTTGAAAATTGGTGACGTACAGGACGTTGGAATTTTTGGATCTTGCAAAAAAAAATTTTTTCAAGTAACACCGTATCGCGCAATCTTAATGAATATCATGAAACAAAATTTTTCGAAATTTTTTTCGATCTTATTTTTGGTGTACGGACTTGAAAAAAATTTTTCCAACTTAACCACCTTATGGATTAGATAGGTTGTTCATTTAGCTACAATTTCTTTTTTCTTTTGGTCTCGATACGACCATTTCTCGCTGAGCTATCGGACTTTGAATGAAAATGGATCATTTTCTCTTTGTTCGTCGATATCTCAGAAACCAATGGTTGTACAGAAAATCGACGGTGGGTTTCAGAAACTTGAATGAATTCTCTACAAGGTCCTGGCACGGTTTTTTAGAAAAAAAATTTGTATCCTTAACATGAAATAGGGGTCTTCTAGAAAATCACGTGCCACATTGAGAATATTGGGAAAATGACTAATGTTAAGTGTGCCTTTTACAGGTCATTGTACCCCTAAAAGCCCTACAGAGTTTCAATTCGATCCATCAAGCCATTTTTTTGTTTCATTCGATTGAATTTTTTAAAAAATTAAAGGATCACGTTTATTTGCCTTTAAATGTTCATAATTTGTAAAAAAATAAAAAAAAAACATTTTTTTCACGATTTTTTTACATTCTTATTGCAGAAAGCGTTTGAAATTATGAAAAAAACAAAATTTTTTTATTGAAAAATTTTTTCGAAAATTAATTTTTTTGAGCCGATTTTCAGAAATTTTTTTTCTACTGAAGAAAAGGTGGTTTAAAAAAAACTGTTTGTTTTAGTGTTCCGTAAATTCGGAAAAAGAGTTTTATGAATTCAGAAGTATCGCAGCAATAATCTCTGAAAAGGGTGTAGATCGAGGTCAATATACGGTTAAAGGTATCAACTTTTTTAAATTTAATTAAAATTCGGTCAGCATAATCACGAAATGAAGTAGGGGAATCGTGTCTAAAATGCTTGGGGATTACTGAGATAAATTTTCTGGAGTGAATCCAACGAAAAAATGTTTCAATAAATTAAAAAAAAAATATATTTTTTTTCATAACTTAATAATAATAAATAGTTTGATTATAGAAAATGTCTTTCATACCTACAGATGTAAATTAAGTCGAGAATCCCATAGCAACAATGTGTTAATTTTACATTTTCCCCGCTCACCCGCCCTATAAAAAATAAGCACAATTTTTTCCCGCCTCCCTCAAATAATATTCCCTAATTAAAAATACAAAAGGCGGCTCCATTTTTCCTTTACAACCAGCCGACATCATTTACTTTTCATTTTTTTATATTAATTAAAATAAAGCCACAACAACGTAGGGAGAAATGAGCTTTCGCGGAACTGGATAATGCAAAAACCGCTTAATGAGCCGTAGGTTAAAGCACGGACAATAACTCTCCCTGGTGATGTTTAAGACGGGAATTTTTCATGCGCCCTCATGCTTTAAGCCAACTGCACCGCCAAAGTGGCTCGTAATGATAATGCTCCATGATAATAACAATATTGACGTGTAATAAACACGGTAATGTAACAGATATTCAACAATATAGAAATGCTATTATGGTGGCGATTACCTATAATGCAAGTAACTAAAACAACCATTAAGTTTATGTTTTGTGTGGAAATAAAACTAGTGGAAAATAATGATGAAATACCATAAAACGTAATTATCCAAAAAGGAGAAATTTCCTATATAAAAATACAGACAATTCATAGCATTTTTACTGAACTCAAAATATCTAAAACCAAGGAACATACAGATTTGTGACGAATTTATAAGGCTTGCTCTAGAAATTCAGCCAGGATTATACGGGTCTTATTAATTTCAGGATTAACACAAGACATATTACGGTCATATTCATTTAGGTAATTCTAGATTTTGGACTAAAGATAAAGCATACTGATATGATAATGTACAACTATTTTTAGTAAGTTTAAAGCCTTATTAAATAGAAAGGAAAATATAAACCATGAGTCATCTACATCACATATTTAAGTATAAAATATTCGCCTTGTCATTTCCAATATTAATGAAAAAAAACTAGCTACCTGAATTCCCTTACAGTTAGGGACGCGAGCGCGAACATAGTCTAAAATTTCATAAAAAAACTGTAAAAAGCTGAAATATTCTTTGCCCTGAGAGAAATGAAATACCTGTGCTATCATTTCCACCATACCTTTCTATAAAAAGTATGTATCAAAGAATACGCCAAAATAGGAAATGCAGTTTGTTCGGGCGAAGGGTGCTTTGTCTCGGTAGCGGAGATGCCTACATTATTGCCTTTTTATGTTACGTTCTTGCGTTTTTTTATGGCTAAATACGTTGTACACTCGCCTTCCCTTATTACTTCCTGAATTTTACATATCAATTTGTGTCGTCTACTTCCCCAGTGGAAACCTCGCTTCATATTAAATTCTTTTTTCTTTTGTTAGATCTAAAAAACAAGAATGAAACAGTCTTGTCATAAAATTTCAATTTTAGGGAAAATGAATTTCGCCACGAACAAGTATATCTTTAATATTGCGCTTTTTCATAAACGGATTTGTTGATATCACAACAACTTAAAAAACAGATTCTTGTTGAAGTGGTTAGATAAAAGGCATTTTGAAAATAAGTTGTCTTTTGTCGAAAGCTCTGTTTATGTTGTTCACAACGGATTAAAAACGCATTAAAAACTAGGTTAATGACCAATATTAGGATAGGGCGTACATTCTCGAGCATCACTGTGCACTTTTATAAATCCTACCCCTCACGTTATGTCTGATTAGCTGTAGATCAATAATAACTCGGCATACTACGTGACTGAATGATTTTTGCAAAATAGAGATGACAGTCCTTTACAACAGCGAGTTAAATTAAACTTCCAATTTTAGAATGCTTTTATTAATGTTTGATTTAGAGCCATATGGGGCTAAGAGATAAATGAACATGCACGTTCCAAATTTCACAAATTGGAGTTTGATTTCGTTCGTTGTAAATTGGAAGAATATCCACCTCGATATCTTTCGACGTAGATTATATAAACATGAAACTTTCGTTATATACAGGTTGTCCCGTTCATGTTTCAAAAAAACTTGTGTGCAATTTCTTTATGGAAAAATAATAGGGGTAGTTCATGTAAAGTTTTTTTCTTAGATGCCCTGTTTTCGAGATACAGTGTGTTGAAGTTGTTGCTTTCCAAATGGTTTTCCTTAGTTGTCTTTAAATCTGCTAAAGATAAAAATGTCAAAATTTGTACACGAGTAAATATCAACTATGCGTTAAGAATAATGTACAACCGGTTTCTTTCTGAAAAGCAGTGTCGCCGATACAGGTAAATTGGAGGGGTACAATCGTAAAAAGAATATGTTAAAAGTCAAAATTTATTACATTTCTAAACGGTTCTGTAAACTCTAAAGCATACTACAAAAAAGGTATACTTGTCGAAATTTGGTTAAATAAACGGATAGTTAAATTGTTATCTATAATTACGTATTTGTAAAGTACAATATGGGTTATGGCAATTTATTTATCCGATCAGTGAATCAATCGAGACATAAATTACTGTCTATAAAACAGATCTGTGTAGACACCACTGTGGCAGTTTAGTAGTTTACGTCTGTGTAAAAAATTACTCAATAATAGTTAAATTTAAATCGTATTAGAGAAAAAGTCAACTCTAAATTGGTTTTATATACTCAGAATAGAGTATAACTCAATTTGAGTATAACTCACTCATTTCTGATGCAATAGTTTCACTCAGTTGTAGTCATACTGATAGAGTGAAAATTTCAGTCGGAAATTGAT